TAAACATCAATATTAAGAGACTTGTAAGCTCCTCCTATAGTAGACACTATATCAGAATGACCCTGGCTGCATGCTGCATGAAGTGCTGTGTTACCATTGCTATCTGCCATGTCTACTAATTCTACACGTGGTTTATTGTAGCTTGGACTATCCAATAGATATTCTACTATTTCCAAGTGACCCTCTTGAGCTGACAGATAAAGTGGAGTACGACCAGAAGCATCAGTGATATCAGGATTACAGTAACGACCATCAACGAAAAACCTCAAAATATCCAAAGACCCTTCCTTTGCCGATATGTGTATTACGTTAAACCCTTTATCGTCCAGTATAGAAATGTTGCAGTTTTTACTGTTGAGGTAACGAATGATGGGAAGGTTCTTAGAGAAAGCTGCAATAAGTAGTGGAGTACGTCCAAAAGAGTCGGTCATATCAAGAGATAATGGTGAATGGTCTATAATGTGCTTGACTATACTCAATGATCCTTCTTCACAGGCTACATGAACTGGAGCCATTCCATTGTAATCTTTAATAGTGAGATCCAACTCATGCTCCTCCACTAGATGTTTGAGTATAGGAAGAGAACGACTTTTACATGATAAATGAAGAACTGTTGATCCATTTGAAGTTTTAGCTGATACGTCACACTGAGAAAGACTAGTGAGGTAGAGAACTATAGCAACATGTCCTTTCTGACATGCTATGTGAAGGAGTGTAGATTGAGTATCATCTCTAGGATCAGTGGCATTAATATCAAATGAATAATTGTTTAATAAGTGCTTTAAACAATACAAACGGTTGTATTCTAAAGTAAGAAAAGGTAATAAACCATTCTTAAATGAGACTAAATTGATATGATACTCTTGTCTGAGCCATTCTAGTATATGAACATGTCCTTGCATCACTGCAACATTCAATGACGATCTTATACTGTATATTCTTGGATTATGTTTATATTGTTTTATTAATAACTTTAAAAGATCAAGATTATCAGAAATACAGGCATATGAGACACAATTGAAGCCAGCTGAGGTCTCAGTACTGTCATCACATTTCATTTCATCAATTAGAAAAGTAACCAGTTTTACAACACCACTACCACAGGCAGCATGAACTGGTGTTGTATTACCATCATGAGTAGAATGTAATAAACTAGAAAATTGTGGATAATTATCAATAATATATTTAATAATTGAATAGATACCAGCAGCTGCAGCTATATGGAATATATTCTCATTGTCCCTATCACCCAAATCACAGCCGCAATCATTCACTAAATATTCCAAGACATCAATAACACCAACTTGAGCTACATACTGAACTGCAACTTTACCATCCTCATCTTTTACATGAGGATCTAGCTTGTATTCATTTATTAATAGTTTAACTAATGGAAGCTTTGTACTATAGATAACTTCTATTAAAGACTCTGGTGTGAGAAGCAAGTGGTGATTCTCAATGAGGTATTGGACCAGCTTCATATTACCACTTCGAATGCTGTAACCCTCTTCATCTAAATTAATACCACTGCCCTGTATTTCACATAGATACTGACTCAACTCAAGGTTACCATGGCTACATGAATAATTAAAAGGTGTTCTACCCTCATTACAGGTTATATTAATATCAATGTCAGTAGTATTCATAATATATTCTACTGCATTGATACTACCTGACATACAAGCTAATACTAATGGTACTACACCTTTGTAGTCTGGTTGACTGGCATTCAAGCTATACTGAGATACAGTATAACTGAGTAGAGT